TAAAAGATCAGGTGAACAGACCAGCCAAAGTCTTGTTAAGTATCAGTTCCAAGAATAAAATTGGTCATTAATGGTTTTCACAACCATATTTTGTAAGAGATTCAAGCTAATTTTACCTTCAGACCATCTATGTTAGGCATATAATCAATAAGAAGCAAGTTAACCAAAATGTTTACATTTAACATTTTGTGAGTTACTTCAGGGAACTTTTTTTTAATGTTTATTTATTTGTTAGAGAGAGAGAGCAAGTGGGGAAGGGGCAGAGGTAGGCTCTGCGCTGATAGCAGCAAGCCTGATGCAGGGCTCAGACTCAAACCGTGAGATAATGACCTGAGCCAAAGTTGGATGCTCAACCAACTGAGCCACCCAGGTGCCCCTACCTCAGGGAACTTTAAATATAAAGACCAATCTCCTGGGCCATTCAGAATTCACGTCTAGATAGTCTCACGCCACAACCCATGGGTATGTGCTCAATTAATTCACATTTCTATCACCCAAGATTCTGGTGGAACCTAAATGAAAATTGAGTGTGTGAGTGGCTTGCATCAATTGAATTAAATGGGGCTCCCAGGAAATGAAGTCCATCGGTGTCAATGAATAGAACTTAGGCACATGCAGGCATGGATAGTGGGCACCGTGGTAAGTGGGATGATGAGTGTGAGGACCCACAAGGCCAAATCACAATAGGGAAGGGAATTGTGGGGCCCCCAGGAGAAAATCCACTATAAGAAAAAAGACTGGCTTGGTATGTTGAACTTGGCAACAGAACTTGAGCTGAGAAAGAAAAAAGGGTTTTCAGGTACAGCAGGGAAGCTGTTACTTGAACCTACCTCTACTCAGTATCCTACCCTGGACGAAATACATAACAATCAAAGAGCTGTGGCACGAACCTACCTTGCTATGAGACCCCTCTAATAGAACCTAACTCCAAGGAGAAGTCATTTCCCATCCATCCATCTTTTTTTTTTATTTGGGGGGGGGGGAGTCGCAGAGAGAGAGGGAGAGAGAATCCCAAGCAGGCTCCGCCCCACCAGCACAGAGCCTGACACCAGGCTCAGTCGCACCAACAGTGAGATCATGACCATAGCCAAAATCAAGAGTCAGGTGCTTAACAGACTGAGCCACCCAGACACCACCCCCCCCCAACTCCATCCCTCTTTGAGTGAAATGGCGAGTGCATGCCCTGAGCTAGAGAGCAATGGTGGCAAGGTTCTGTTGTGACCAGCTGGGATAGCTGGCAGAGTACCCAGAGCAGGCAGTAGAGGCAACAACCCTAGGAAGTCATGGAGCCGGCCTGGGGAAGGTAAAATCTTATGGCAAACCATAAGAGACTCTTAAATACAGAGAACAAACTGAGGGTTGATGGAGGGGAGGGTTGGGGGGGGGTTGTTAAATGGGTAATGGGCATTAAGGAGGTCACTTTTTGGGATGAGCACTGGATGTCACATGTAAGCAATGGATCACTGGGTTCTATGTTAACTAACTTGAGGATAAATAAATAAGTACATAAATAAATAAATAGAGTGAGACACTTAACTGACTGAGCCACCCAGGCATCCCAAGTCTTATTTCTTTTTATTTTAGTGTAGTCCCAATAATTTGTTTTTACTTTTGTTTCCCTTGCCTCAGGAGACATATCTAGTAAGAAGTTGCTATGGCTGATATCAAAAAGGTTACTTCCTGTGTTCTCTTCTTCGATTTTAATGTTTTCCTGTCTCACATTTAGATCTTTCATCCATTTTGAATTTATTTTTGTGTATAAGAAAGTGGTCCAGTTTCATTCTTTTGCATGTTTCTGTCCAATTTTCCCAACATCATTGTTGAAGAGACTGTCTTTTTTTCCACTGGATATTCTTTCCTGCTTTGTCGAAGATTAATTGACCATATAGTTGTGGGTTCATTTCTGGGTTTTCTGTACTGTTCCATTGATCTATGTGTCTGTTTTTGTGCCAGTACCATAGTATCTTGATCACTACAGCTTTGTAATATAACTTGAAGTCCAGAATTGTGATGCCTCCAGACCTGCTTTTCTTTCTCAAGATTGGTTTGGCTACTTGTGTCTTTTGTGATTCCATACAAATTTTAGGATTGTTTATTCTAGCTCTGTGGGAAAATATTGTTGATATTTTAATAGGGATTGCATTAAATGTGTAGATTGCTTTAGGTAGTGTAGATGTTGTAACAATATTTGTTCTTCCAGTCCATGAGCGTGGAATGTCTTTCCATTTCTTTGTGTCATTTTCAATCTCTTTCATCAGTGCTTTATAGTTTTCAGAGTATAGATCTTTTACCTCTTTGGTTAGGTTTATTCCTTGGTATCTTATGGTTTTGGTGCAATTGTAAATGGGATTGATTCTTTCATTTCTCTTCCTGCTGCTTCATCATTGATGTATAGAAATGCAACTGATTTCTGTATGTTGATTTTGTATCCTGCAACTTTGCTGAATTCTTAGCAATTTTTTGGTGGAGTCTTTTGGGTTTTGGGTGGAATCCAATTTTTTGGGTGGAGTGTTGAGCAACTTTGCTGAAAATCTTAGCAATTTTTTGGTGGAGTCTTTTGGGTTTTCTATTTAGAGTATCAAGCCATCTGCAAATAGTGAAAGTTTGACTTCTTCCTTGCTGATTTGGATGCCTTTTATTTCTTTGTGTTGTCTGATTGCTGAGGCTAAGAGTTCCAGTACTATGTTAAATAACAGTGGTGTGTGCTCGCTTCGGCAGCACATATACTAAAAAATAACAGTGGTGAGAGTGGGCATCCCTATATAGTTCCTGACCATAGAGGAAAAGCTCTCAGTTTTTCCCCATCAAGGATGATATTAGCTGTAGGTTTTTCATATACAGCCTTTTTTATATTGAGATGTGTTCCCTCTAGCCCTACTTTGTTGGGGGTTTTTATCATGAATGGATGTTGTACTTTGTCAAATGCTTCTTCTGCATCTATTGAAAGGATCATAGGGTTCTTATCCTTTCTTTTGTTAATGTGGTATATCACATTGATTGATTTGTGAATATTGAACCACCCTTGCAGCCCAGGAATAAATTCCACTTAATCATGGTGAATGCTTCTTTTAATGTACTGTTGGATTCAATTTCTTAGTATTTTATTGAGAATTTTTGTATCCATGTTCATCAGGGACATTAGCCTGTAGTTCTCTTTTTTAGTGGAGTCTTTGGTTTTGCCATCAAGGTAATGCTGGCCTCATAGAATGAATTTGGAAGTTTTCCTTCCTTTTCTATATTTTGTAATAGTTTGAGAAGAATGGGTATTAAATCTTTAAATGTTTGGTAGAGTTTGCCTATGAAGCCATCTGAGTTTCTTTATGTTTATTATTAATTGATTTATATATTTGGGTGCTTTCAAGCTGGGGGCATATTTACGATTGTCAGATCTTCTTTATGGCTAGACCCCTTAATTATGATAGAATGTCCTACTTCATCTCTTAATACAGTCTTTATTTTAAAATCTAGTTTATCTGCTATAAGGATTGCTACTCCAGCTTTCTTTTGATGTCCATTTGCATGATAAATGTTTCTGCATCCCTTCACTCTCAATCTGCAGGTGTCTTTGGGTCTAAAATGAGTCTCTTGTAGCTAGCATATAGATGGGACTTGTTAGGTTTTTTTGTTTTTTGTTTTTTGTTTTTTTATTCATTCTGACACCTTATGTCTTGATTGGAGTGTTTAGTCCATTTACAGTGAGAATGATTATTGATAGATATGTATTTATTGCCATTTTATTACTTGTTTTATGGTTGTTTCTGGAGATTTTTTCTGTTCATTTCTTGTCTTTTGTCATTTTTGGTCTTTCCTTTCCACTTAGAGTCCCCTTTAATATTTCTTGCAGGGCTGGTTTAGTAGTCACAAACTCCTTTAGTTTTTGTTTGTCTGGAAAACTCTTTATCTCTCCTCCTATCCTGCCGGAGTCCAGCTCCAGCAGATCTAGGGGTTCCCAAAGGATGAACGACGTCGGCGAAAAAGTGAAAAAATAAAAAATAAAAAATAAAAACGGACACAGACAACAGTAGTGTGTTGAACTGGCCACTTTATTGTGGCAAACGTGGCATTACATTTGTTAGCAATTTCCTTGTAGTGTACGTCATCTGTGTTTTCTAGCATTACCTAATTCTAAAAATGTTCCTATGTATAATCACCCTTTAAGGAATAACATGGTTATTTTCTCATAACGTTTCCTCCTGCCCTTTGCTTATTGATTAATTTCTTACATTATTTTCAATATGTATCTACGTTTATCTATAATCTATAAAACATTTGCTTTGCTGTTTTCATGAAAGGTCATCTATCTCTCAACACCTCAAGTGGAACAGTTATAGGGACACGACCTCTTAGTTGTTTCTCTGAACCATTTATGGCTTGAGGAACAAAAGTGTTCGCCTCAGTCCAAGGAGCCAGGAGGGGGCCAAGAGGGCCTTAGAAACCTACACCTTATACATTCTCAGAGAGGCAATGCACCTAGGAACTAATGAACCATTCTGTACCTTAACCGACTAGGTTCAGTCATCATCTGGAATGCCTCCTGGGGGCCAAGTGGGCCTAGGGGTTGGAGTAACTTGTGCCCATAGATACACTCCTTTGTTGCCAGAGTGGGGCTTTCAAATCTATCTGTTCCTTCCTTGGCTGAGAAATATATGAGGCTATCCTTCCTTTAGGTAGAGGAGTCTTTATAGGGGGTGGCAAAGGCTAAATGTAGGGCTGCACAATTTCCTTGTGGAACCTTATTTCTTTCCCCAATAGTTCTTTTCCCAGGGGGCCTGTCCAGGGCAATTCCCCAACAGACAATTCCCCAGGTACTTTTATTAAGGCCAAATTACATAAAAGCAGGAGTACAAGAAGCTTCACTGTCGGTGGGCTGCCCTGCAGTCCCAATCCATCCACCGCCCGGGCCCTGCCATCAAGCTGGTTGGATAGCTCACCTTCCAGCACTATCCCGAATGAGTCTTGCTGGATAGAGAATTCTTGGCTGTAGATTATTCCCATTCAACATGTTGAATAAACTCTGGCTTGCCAAGTTTCTGTTGAGAGATCTGCAGTTAGCCTCATGGGTCTTCCCGTGTAAGTTATGGAACTCTTTTGTCTTGCTGCTTTTAGGATTTTTTTCTTTACTGCTGTATTTTGCAAATTTAATTACAGTATGTCTGGATATTGGCCTGCTTTTGTTGATTTTGATGGGAGTTCTCTGTGCCTCATGGAGCTGGATGTCTGTTTTCTTCCCCAGATCAGGGAAGTTTTCAGTTATTATTTCCTCAAATTTTCTGTTTCTTTTTCTCTCTCTTCTTCTGGGACTCCTATGATATAAACATTACTACATTTGATGGAGTCATTGAGTTCCCTAAGTCTATTCTCATATTCTATCATTCTTCTTTCTCTCTTTTGTTCAGCATCCTTATTTTCCATTATTTTGTCTTCTATATCACTTATTCATTCCTCTACTTCTTCCAGTCTGCTGTTCATTACATCCAGTCTGTTTCATAATCAGTTATTATATTTTTCATTTCTGACTGCTTATTTTTTAACTCATTCACCTTTGTGGTAAGGGTGTCCCTGAAGTCTTCATGCTTTTTTCAAGCCCAGCAAGCATCTTTATGGTTGTTGCCTTAAATTCTCCATCAGGCATATTACTTATATCTGTTTCTATTACATCTCTGGCCATGCCCTTTTCTTAATTGTTTCATTTGGGATAAATTCCTCCATCTTGTCATTTTGTCTACATCCCTGTATTCTTCTGTGTATTAGAAAAGCTTGTTCTATTTCCTTCTCCTGAGAGTAATGGCTTTATGAAGAAGATGCCATATAATAGTCGGGGCCTGGAGCTTCAGAGAGTGTCTCTGGTGTGTGCTGCATATACTCTGCTGCTATGTTTTAGCTGCTCTATCCTTTAGGCCAATCATCTCCAGAGACTCTCCTTGCTTACTGTGGGCACTGTTTGGACATTGGTCCAAGGGTGGCAAGTTTTAACTGGATGTGCTCTGGTTTGCTTGTTAAATGAGACCTGATGCTACTTCAACTAGAACTAAAGGCTTGCAGAACTCTCTGGTTGGAAGACATGGTTCATGCAGGGGTTTCTGCTGGGTTTCTAGAGAAGGGTCCCCCTGCGCTAGGATTGAGGCAAGTTTGGCCAAGAAGGGCAGTCACACCAGAGCGCAGGGGCATGGGAGTTGCATCAAGCAGGTTAGGCAGCCAGCGTCCAGGCAAACCACTCTCAGCAGGTGGTTCTGCATCTATGCCAAGGGATAGGAGGAGGGCAATGGTGCCCACAGGCTCTTTTGTCCCCAGAGAGGTGTCTCTGTGAATACCACCTCTCATAGATGCACTCCAAGAAGAGTGAACAGTCTTCCCACTGTGTGCCCTAGGCGATCCTCAGATTTCTGCCTCCTTGCCACCTGCCCCAGTTGCTTGCCTACTTTCTCTCCAGAAGTAGGGCAGCACCCTGGCTCTATCCCAGCCAAGCTCACCAACCTTTAAAATTCCAGTCTTGGGATGTCTGGGTGGCTCAGTCAATTAAGCATCCAACTCTTTTTTTAAATTTTTTTTTTTTTTTTTTCAACGTTTATTTATTTTTGGGACAGAGAGAGACAGAGCATGAATGGGGGAGGGGCAGAGAGAGAGGGAGACACAGAATCGGAAACAGGCTCCAGGCTCTGAGCCATCAGCCCAGAGCCCGACGCGGGGCTCGAACTCCCAGACCGCGAGATCGTGACCTGGCTGAAGTCGGACGCTTAACCGACTGCGCCACCCAGGCGCCCCTAAGCATCCAACTCTTGATTTCAGTTCAGGTCATGATCTCACAGTCGCAAGATCGAGCCCCATGTGGAGCCCCACGCTGAGCAAGGAGCTGGCTTGGGGTTTTCACTCTCTGTCTCTGCCTGTCACCTGCCCCTGTGAACTTTCTCCCACCTCCCCCCCAAAATAAATAAATAAAACATTCTTTAAAAACCTCCAGTCTTAAAGTCCCACTGGTTGCAAAACCCACGAAAATCAACCTCTCTTGTTTTCCCAGCCAGTGGCTTCAGGGAAGTGTTTTCGTTATGGATTCCCCTGTGCACTCCTCTCTTTCTTTCTGCTTTTCTCCACCACCAAGGCTCCCTCCCCACTGCAGGACCTGTGATTTATTTTTCCCCTAAACTAAGTCTCCACATTTCCTACCTTCCTCAGTGTGACCTCTTTTCTCCCTCTAGTTGTGCAGTTTGTTCTGCCAGTCCTCAGGTCGATTTCTTGGGTATTCAGAATGATTTTATAGTTATCTAGTTGTGTTCAAGGGACTAAACAAGCCTAGGGTCTTCCTACTACACTGCCACCTTACCTCCCTTCCTATCATGTTACTCTTTGGTAACCTTTGGGGACCTACATTTTTCACTCCATATATTATTGCTAAGATTCATCCATATTCTTATGTGTAACTGTGAGTCATTTTGAATGCCATATAATAGTACATTATGTGAATAAACCATAAACTATGTATTCATTCTCAAGTTCATGGTCATTTGGGTTTTTTCCAGCTTTCTGTTATGAATATTCTTATACACGTTTCCTGATATATCTTTGAGTTTCTTTTGTACATTCAATATTTTAATTAAAGTTTCAATTAGAAATAACTACTGATTGTATCAAAACCTTTTCTTGGCATTTACTGATGACTTCATAGTTTTTCCTTAATTTGTTGCTGTAGGGAATTATACTGTTGGATTTCCTAATGGCAAAATTTTCTGGCATAACTTAGTGTCTATTATTCTTTCAACACCATTACTAGACTTATTACATTCTGTGAGTCCAGTTTATTGAGGCATAATTTGGATATTGTAAAATTCATCCTACCGAAGTATACAATTTGATGAGTTTTGACAAATATCTTCAGTCACATAACCACCACCACAATCAACATAGAAACATTTCCATCACACAAAAGTATTTCCTTATGCCCTTTTGCAGTCAGTCTTCTGTCCCACCCAAATCCCTGGCAACCACTGGTCTGATTTCCATCCTTCTAGTTTCACCTTTTCCAGAATGTCGTGTTGTAAATAAAGTTCATACAACATGTAGGCTTTTGTGAATGGTTTTATCACTTGACATAATGTTTTTGAAATTCATCCATGATGCTGCATATATCAGTAGTTTGTTTCTTTGCTACTATTCATCTCTAGGTGTACCACAATTTGTTTATCCACTCACTAGTGGATGGACTTTCAGGTTTTTGTTTTCAGTTTTTGACTACTAGGAATATATCTGCTATAAAAATTTGCGTATGCCTTTGTGTGAACAAATGCTTTCATTCCTTGAGTAAATACGTAAGTGTGAGTTTTATGGGTCATGTGACAACTGTATTTTAACAATCTAAAACTGCCAAACCCTTTCCCAAAATCCCTGCACTATTTTGCATTCCCAGCAGAAAGGTATGAGAGTTCCAGTGGCTCTACATCTTTGGCAGCATTTGGTATCGTCAGTGGTCTGTTTGACTTTTTGTTATTGAGCTATAAGAGTTATTCATATATTCTGAATACAGGTCCATTATTAGGTATATATGTTGCAAATATTTTTTCTCCCTACACGTGCCTTGCTTTTCATTGATTTAATGTTGTCTCTCAGAGGGCAGAAGTTTTCTATGTTGACAAAACACATTTTAATTTTTCAGTTCATTTCAATTTTTTCTTTTATGGTTCATGTTTTTTAAATGTCCTGTTTATGCAATCTTTGCTTAACCCACCATTACAAAGAGTTTTCCCTGTATATCTATGCTTTCTTCTAGAGGTTTTATAGCTTTAGCTCTTACATTTATGTTGATAATGTGTTTCAATTTAGTATGTTTATAGATGTGAGGTAAGGGCCAAGGTTTTATTGTTACTGTTGTTAGTCTTTTGTTTCTGCTTTCACATAGACTTCCAACTGCTTTGGCCCCATTTATTTAAAAGTCTCTCCTTTCTCCATTGAACTTCCTTTGCACCTGTGTCAAAATTCAATTGATCATAAATATGTTTGGGTCTATTTCTGGAGTCTCTATTCTATTCCATTGTTCTGTAAGACTATTCTTTTGCCATTATCACACTTTCTTGATAAGTGGTAAATCCAAAATTAGGTACTGTGAGTCCTCAACTTTGTTCTTATTTTTCAGATGGGCTTGCTAAATTTTTATTTAGAATCTTTTCATGTATATGCATAAGTTGAACTACAGAAACATTTTGTGCTATATTTATCAGATTTTAGTATTAAAGTTATGCTTGTTTCATAATATTATTGAGGAACTTTCCATACCTTTCTAGAGAATTAAATAATTTGGTTAACCTATTAAAGAGATTAAATTAACTCTTGCTTGAAAGTTAGATGGAATTCAGTTGCAAAACTAAACTATTTCAATAAGTATTTTTCCTTAAAGGAAGAATTTATTAATTTTTTTCATTTCTTCTATAGTTTTTGGCTTTCTGTCTCTTCTTGTACCAATTTTGCTCACTTATATTTTGCCAGAAAATCATTCATATTGTTTAGACTTTCAGATTTACTGAAATTTATCAATTTATAATTTATTAACACAATTTGAATTTATGAATGATCTTATAAACATAGGAAACTGAGGTACAGAGAGATCAAGTAACATGCCCAAGGTCACACAGCTAATAAGCAGTAGAGGCAGGATTTGAACCCAAGGCATCCAAGCACCTGCACTTAACCACTAGAAACCCAGGGAATACTGATACAGAGTGACCTTTAAATTCTGCAAATCATCTGATAAAGTCTTTCATGATACCCTTAGGGGCAAGATGAAGAAATGTTAGCTACAAATTTTTGCCAAACAGCCTTACTCATTAGCTCTCCTTTACAAATCCAGCAAGAAAGAAAATAAATGGCTTGACATAGAGATCCAGAGACGTGGAGGAGAACATAAAATATGGTTCCTAAATTTGCAAATGAAGCGAAAGTGCATCTGCTAGCTTAATGGCAAAACGGAATTAAAGAAATCTTCTCCGCTGCATTCTAGTTGATCACACAGGTGTAAACTGAACAGATTTTAGGCCCCACAAGAACAAAGACCAAATATATATAT